CCATCCTACTAAACACACACACACACACACATATATATTATAATAAAGTACATGATATAATTAGTGTGGTTATCTTGGTACAACGTATTTTTCTTTTTTCTTTATTGCAGTCATTCTTCCTCACATCGCCAGTGCCACTGTGGAAACCCGGAATGCCATGGCTGCACTTGCAGCAAATAACCTTTTAGCGGGATTGAAAGGTGATGCAATGCCCAAAGAAGTGCCACCTAGCTAGTAGTAACTGGAACATTACCTCTACTAACCACAAAATACACACAAAAAAACTGTTCATAATTGAAAGGAAATTCCACACCTAAACATATAAAAAAGATGCCAATTAATGCAGTTCTATATTCATGAATACATCATTAAATGTCTTTTTTTTTTATGTGACCAGTGTAAGCACTTGAATTTGAGTCGGTATCTGACACTTGCAGTCCACTGTACAGCTGAGCTCAGACTGGGGGTGGGAGAAGCAGCACAGGGAGCCAATCAGTTGTGTGGCAGTTCTTATGTTCTAATAATAAGGGACATGCTGATAGGAGGTGAGAGCAGAGAGCAGAGCGTATTAGCCTACTGCTTCTCCTTTCCTTGTCTAGCCACGGACTGGGGGGCAAGACCTGTAAGTGTTACCTAAAGTAGAAGTGAAGCAAGGACTTTTTTTGTTTTAGTTTTGCATAGGGTAAGTGGTTATATTCCCTGTCATCTGTCTTTATGCTATCTGTGTCCCATTGGGGAGATTCCCCTTTACTTCCTGTCTGATGACCACAACAGGAAGTGGGAGGAAATTCAGGTAAATCCCTGGCGGTCAGTAGGGTCACCAGAACTATTGTCCCATCTATTCCTGTTCTGGTGATAACCAAATATGTGTGATTTTCTTCCACTTTCCAGGATAATGGGCACTAGGACAAATAGAGAGGGTGAATCTCTCTAATGGGGACACAGACAGCAATACAAATTTGGCTGACGATCTAACCCATCACTACTTTGTCCAAAACGAAAAAAAAAGGTTTGGCTTTATTTTAGCTGCAGCAGAGAATTATCAGGTCTTCTGCTCTACTAGACAGGACTGTACTGTGTGGAAAGACTGTGTGTATATATATATACACTATAATTGGGAGCTTTGCCTTCTGTATTTTTCCTGGTCACCATTGTCCAGAACAGGACTAGAACAAAATTCTTCCATTGGGGACACCTGTACCCATGACAGCTGTCTAAGAGGAGATTTCCAGGACAGGATGTGAGGGTATATATCCAAAACAGAAAAAAAAAAAAGGTTTTGGATATACATACACTTTAACTCCTAAGCTAATCTAAAAATGTAACCCTGAATGCTTAACCTGACACTTAACCCTTTGCTTTACCCGAAATAAAATGTTACCATGAAAATGAAGCCTATAAATGAACGTAAAACTTAACCGCTCCAACTTATCAGTAACCCAAAGTTAACCCCACCAAAAATATGAGGGCCATATTCTTTAAGTCTTGCTCCAAATGTACCTGCTGTTGAATCCAACCATGGTTACTAGGGATGTGCAGGAGCTTGGTACGGGTTCACCAGATTTTGTCCAAGCCCATACAAAGCTGTAAGTGACATACACCCCCTTCCAGCCCAATCAGCTGCAGGCAGGACATTCCCTGTCCTGCAGGTCAATGTAGCAAAGGGATGGGGAATGCCCTGGCCACAGCTGATTGGACCACTAGGGGGGACGAGACATGTCACTTACAGTTTTGCTTGGGCTCGGGCGAACTTGGTTAGCACCAAGCCCAGGCACATCCCTGATAGCGACTTACCAGCACTGAAAATCCTCCTAGTCCTCCACCATACAAAGCACATAAGCTGCACTTATTGATGTTTTGGGAAGGAGTAGGATCCAAATGTCTAGCAAATGTTCAGCATTTCAGCTCACTTTTGGATTGGCTCGGCAAACCATAAGACAATGCTGTCAATCCCATCATCTCATGAGTTAAAAATCAATATTACAACCACTATGATTATTCTGAAGTCTTTTCAGTCCATGTCTATAGTCTTGCTGCTGTTTCATATATTACATGTCATTTTCATGCAATAAAATAAAGAATGGATCCTGTCTATGTTGTTTTGTTGCTTGTAAAGCATAGTTAGCATTATTATAAAATATGCAGCAACATTTATTAAAGTTGAATTCTGGGATAAGCAAATATTGTCTAAAGAGTTATGTGTATTCTTACTTGACTCTGTGTGAATCTTGGTGTGTTATGTGTATTCTTACTTGACCCTGTGTGAATCTTGGTGTGTTATGTGTATTCTTACTTGACCCTGTGTGAATCTTGGTGTGTTATGTGTATTCTTACTTGACCCTGTAAGAATCAGCCCAGTAGAAGCAGTCCATAAGCTGGCCATACACAAGTAGATTTCCAAATTACCGGGTCATATGAAATATTGAAATATCTTTCTTTTCCACTCGATAACAGCATCAGACACTTGACGAATGTTGATTGAAAGTTTGTTTGATTCTAACATTCGATTTTTGAACGAATGGCGTTTCCTGAACAAAAACCACAGTCACTGTTAGAATTTCATTTGTTCTAGAAAAAAATGTCATCCTACTCCATCGAGTTTTTGTGTCACTGCAGTTGAAATCGATTGTCAATTTGACCCCATCAACTAACAGAGAGTTAACAGAAAATCTAAGCAGTGTATGGCCAGCTTTAGAGTCATATGTATAGCCCTAGAATAATCCTAGGTATAAAACTAGAAAGGGAAGAAGTATTTTTTTTAATGATCATTTTTTCCTTATGTTCTGTGAACGGGAACACATCACAAACATATAGAGGGGGTTTCTCAAATTTGACTGCAAAGGTGGAAATACACTTTAAATAAATTGCACCCAAAGCCCAGCACACAGATGATGTAGCACTTTGCATACACTAGATGGCGCTGTCGTCTCATCTACAATTCAAGATGCCTTAAGCAGCCTTGGGGGAAGTAATGCAGTTGACCTCCCTGCAATGATAAGAGCTCCTCCTCTCTCTAGCTTTCTCCTTCCTTGTCATAGCAGGCAATGAAAGCAGCACAGCAGCTCATGAAGGTGTTCGTGAGCAGGAGGCTACCCCCGGAAGGGCAGAAACTTTTATCCCAGGCTGGAAAGTGAGTTGGGGCACTTTGGATGTGCTTTACTAAAGGGTTCATATATAATGTATGTAGCCTGTGTCAGCTTCAGGGTAAAAGTCTGTTTTTTAACCCCTACAGTCTGATTGGGGATCAACAGGAATCTCTAACAGAGGTTAAAATATTTCCTTTATTTATTCAGCCCCTTCATTCCAAAGTCTAGATTCTGCAGACCAGCTCTGTGTTGATGTATGAAAATACATGAAACATTTGTATCAAACATATGCAGCATGTGTTAGTCAAACTATGCAAGGTCTATATGGCCATTTTGCTTCTTGGCGGTGACAGCTGCCATGGGTTCTGCATTTTGATGAACAGTTTAAATGAGTTTTCATTTTTGCAAAGGAAAGCTGCAGCTTTTTCATTTTGTTGCCCACACTACGTGGTTACTTAGTAAAGACATCATGAAAATATGATAAACACTATCTGTTACATATGGCTTGATATATAAACACTTCAACTACTGTTAAAGTCTATCTCTGGGGTAAAAAAAAAATCTTGTAGCTAGGTTACTCCCCACACTGCAAGGGTTAACTGTTTGTTAAAGGAGAACTATGGGGTTAAGGCTTTTCCCCATAATTCTCCTTTAGGGTAACGGGAGGACACAAACTAGCGTCCTCCCGTCACCCTAGGCTCAGTATACCGCGAGCTGTAGCTCGCGGTATACTGAGACGCCACAGCTGAAGCGGATCCCTACAATTGTGCCAGGATCCGCCAAGTTGCGTGACTGACAGCTGGCTCTGCCTATCTAGAGGCAGAGCCAGCTGTACCCGCCCCCTCCCCCGTCCGTTCCGCCAGTCAGCGGTAGCGTGGAGGGGGGAATCCAGCCCCTCCCCTGTCACGGCAGAGAGCCGTGACAGGATCGAGAGATGAGCGAACGCCGGTATGTGTTCGCTCACCTCCTGATCTACTGAGCCGACCTGTAACAGTCTCATTGTTACAGGTCGGCTAGAACTATGAGGTGAGTGAAAGGCACTCACCTCATAGTTCTCCTTTAATGTATAGGGGAGCTGGATTATGGACTATTACTTACCTCATCCCCATTATCCCGCAGTCGTTGATCACCTCTCTGCCCAGTGATCCAGCTTGTGGACTGTTCCTACGGTGTCCTGATGTATAATGCAGGACTATGGGCCCTGCATTGTACGTAATGACTGCAGAAGCGGGGTAGTGCCAGAAGGGGCAGAGTAGAGCCAGTGGGAGCGGGGATCAGGTAAGTAAAAGTACTTTACTCCAGTTCCCTAGACATAAACAAGCAATTAACCCTTGCATTATGGATGACACTAAAACGCCTGAGAACCGTGTGAGGTGCGCACCTCCCGATCTACTGAGCCGACCTGTAACAGTCTCATTGTTACAGGTCGGCTAGAACTATGAGGTGAGTGAAAGGCACTCACCTTATAGTTCTCCTTTAATGTATAGGGGAGCTGGATTATGGACTATTACTTACCTCATCCCCATTATCCCGCAGTCGTTGATCACCTCTCTGCCCAGTGATCCAGCTTGTGGACTGTTCCTACGGTGTCCTGATGTATAATGCAGGACTATGGGCCCTGCATTGTACGTAATGACTGCAGAAGCGGGGTAGTGCCAGAAGGGGCAGAGTAGAGCCAGTGGGAGCGGGGATCAGGTAAGTAAAAGTACTTTACTCCAGTTCCCTAGACATAAACAAGCAATTAACCCTTGCATTATGGATGACACTAAAACGCCTGAGAACCGTGTGAAAACCGCTCACCAGCTCAGTCGCATAGGTGTGAACCTAGCGTAAAACCTGTGCTGAGAAAAATATGGAGGCTTATTGATCATGTTGATTGCTTTTCTGAAAATGCCAGCTGCCTGGTATACAAGGTTCCATTGTGTTATTCTACAATACAGGATTACAGCATGAAACGTATTTGCTGCCACCTTTCGCTACATATATAACCTATTGGAAGTAAAAAAAACAATTATAGTAAAATGAATACTATAGAAAAATAAACACACAGAGGGGGGATTAGCATCCTCCTTTCATTTACAAAGCTTAACTCAACAAACTGAGGAGAGAAGGGGATTGGTTGCCATGGGCAACTGCTCCAGAATTTGTCTGCTCCAGTTTTGATAAATTCCCCACCCACTGTATACCTGAACCCGCTGTTTACAGTTCATGACTTTAAATGTTGTGCAAAAATGAAACTAAACAAAATTGAAACAGTAAAAACAACAGTGAACACTATATGTCCTCATGCACACAGGCGCCTGGGGCCATACAATATAGAATTTGGGTGTATTTACTTGCTGTGAGGCTGCAGGTGCTGCGTACAGCTGGTTATAGCAATCAATGGCTGTATAAGTTGGTACTGGATTAAACATACGCCTGTGCACAGACGCGCAACCCCAAACAGTCTGCAATTAGGCTTGTACATCTATGTGCACGCATGTGTTTATGCCCATAGCAGCATATACCTGTGCATGCCTGCATCCTGTCCATTTCTATGGGTGGCTGTATGCAGCAGCTGTGACTCTCAGATGAGGAAATATGCCTGATTTGTACATTGTTCAGCTCATTTGCCTTTGTGCATTAGGCCTCAGCATATAAATACATTACATGTCCACCTCTTATGATATAAACTTCTGGATTTAAAGGAGAACTATGAGGTGAGTGCTTTTCACTCACCTCATAGTTCTAGCCGACCTGTGACAATGAGACTGTCACAGGTCGGCTCAGTAGATCAGGAGGTGAGCGAACACATACCGGCGTTCGCTCACCTCTCGATCCTGTCACGGCTCTCTGCCGTGACAGGGGAGGGGCTGGATTCCCCCTCCGATCCTCCAGCGCTGACTGGCGGAACGGACGGGGGAGGGGGCGGGTACAGCTGGCTCTGCCTCTAGATAGGCAGAGCCAGCTGTCAGTCACGCAGCTGGGCGGATCCAGACAGAATTGTTGGGATCCGCTTCAGCTGCGGCATCTTTGTGTCCTCCCGTTACCCTAAGGAGAACTATGGGGAAAAGCCTTAACCCCATAGGTCTCCTTTTAATGCTTTGAGCAAATGACCTAGGACAAGCACAGATACTTTTTTTTTTTTTCTTCAATTTTCTGAATACTTATTAAAGTTCAGGATGTCAAAGTATTAAATGCACTAGCTCAGCATAGCAGCCGAGCACCTAGCATTTTCAGAAGGTCAGCAGTGGCAACCCCATATTCCTTTCGTGAAAAGTCTATGGTAAGAATTGTGGCAACAGACCATAGATCAGGTAAACCCAGGTGTCTAACCATTGGGGCCTTCTACATATAGGCTTCATCTTGTATTAGCACAGCAAGCTTTTACAAGGCTTTTAGCCAGATTCAAGAAGCCATTAAGGCAATTTTCAGCTTCAGATTAGGGAGGTTAAACAGAGATCTCAATGGGATTGCTGACTATTTCTTTAAAAAAGAAAACCTGCTGGAAGGCTTAAGCCTGACTTGAAGCTTGTTGAAAGCCTGTTGAAGTCTGGTAGCAATTTGGTTAATGTGACCACAGCACTCCCATTAACATGTATATTTAACTACTTCTAACTGAAAATTAAAGTGCATCTAAACCCAAAAACAAAAAATTAAAGTGTAACTAAACCCTGAAGTGAAAAAAGATCTAGTACTGTAGACCTCGGCACTTACCTTGTTTGCTGTGTGCTTTCTCTCCCAGGCCTGTGGTTGCTGTGCACTCCTTCTACCAAAATGCCTCGGGTTCCTTTTTTTTTTTTTTTGGGTGGCTCCATTTTTTTACAGGTCCCATGAAGCCACTTTTGAGAGCTCAATTCTGGCAGGTGTACAATCACACCACTTTATCCAAAACCTAGAGCGACAAGACACTCCCCACTCTCCTCAGTGTGCGCATGCCACTCTCCCACTTCTCCCTCCTCCTGTGTCCTTAGTGCGCACACACCACTCCCCTGTTCCTCCCTCCTCCTGTGTCCTTAGTGCGCATGCGTCACCCTCTCACTCCTCCCTCTGCCTCTTTCCTCCTGTCTCCTTAGTTCGCACACGTACCACTCCCATGTTCCTCCCTCCTCCCTCCCTTCTCAGTTTGCACAATTCTCTATCCTCACTGTGTCTCCTTAGTGCACACACTCCCTAACTGGAAGTTTGGGTGCAGACCGATCTAGAGCTGCAGGACTTTGAAGGCATAAAAAAAGGAAGTGTTGGGCATACACCTTTATTAAACTATGTACTGGAGAAGGTGCCCCTGATCGATAAATAGTAAATTAATTGTATAAAGTTGAAAGGGTTTAGTACCACTTACATATACAGTATATTGAAGCTTATCAATCCTTAAATGTGGCGTCTGCATTCATTTTCTTTTTTAGTCCCCCCCCCTTTATTTTCACATAGTGATCCGACTGGTAACACACTTCCTGTTATAGGGTTTCTCCACTCTATGAACGAGCAATAGAGCCACCCTAGGACAGAAGCATTGTCACCCTGTGTAGAGGGTAGTATTAGATGGACTAGCGGATCTGTATAGAATTGACTAACAAATTAAATCTGAACTCCAGCTAACACTTTTTAAGCAGTTATAGGAACAGTTTTTTTCTTTTGGGATAAAGGTTTTACATGAATGAATAAAAGCTGACCATTGTAAGTACTCCTGACAGTGTTCAAATGTCTCAGCCCTCTATCTGCCACTTGTGCTGGACAGGTTGGTCTGATAAAGGAAGTTGAAAAATCTACCGTCTGGATCACTGAGTGAAAATAAAGGGAAAACAAGCCTAAAAACAGAAAACTAATTCAGCCAACACATCTAAAGACTGGTAAACTGCAATATATTAAATTTTTGCTTTTGGGTTTAGATATATTTGAAGGTAACTTCAAAGGATTAAATAAAGTTAGCTGAAAGCTTTGCCAATGCTGTAAAAGCTTGCTGTACCCACTGTTTTCAGCTGATCACTGAGTGCTTGTAAATAATTGAGGACATAGTATGTTTACTGTGCCCCCAATTATGAATGAACCGGAAGTGTTCTACATCACTTACTGTTCATTTATGATTCTGGACATAGTAACCGATACTATCTCTTCAGTTTATGAATGGACAGGAGCACTCAGTATAGAGGCTTCCTATTCATTCATAACAGGGGATGCAAAAAAAGATTGAGGACTGTGTCCTCAGATCCCTGATATTTCCCTTTTGAAGTAGAAAAAGAGATTGTCTAGATCCCTAATATTTCCCCAGAGCCCCAGACAGTAAAGCAAAAATAAAATACAAAACAAATAATTTTAAAAAGGTTGGGAACATTTTTTTCTGGTTTGGCCTGACCAATTCTTTATTTTCGGTTTCAGTTTGGGTCTGAAAATTCCATTTCGGTGCACCTCTACTCATAAGGCATGCTGCAGGATTCTTGCAAGTGATCACTTCCAGTACAAAGCTGGTAGTGGGCTGAATAGTGATAAGCTTGGGCTTGGTGGAAACCCAGTTCACCTAAGTTCACCCAAGCCCACTCAAAACTCTGACTGATGCCCCCCTCCCAACCCAATGAGTTTCAGCAGGCACATTCCCCGTTCCACAGTTATACGTCAAAAGGGGCCTGGGAATGCTCTTGCTGCACCTAATTGTGTCAGTGCATTGAGGAAATACATCCTATGGGCACCTTCAATAAGTAAGTTTACAAACTTCTAGATGGAGATAGTTATTAGAGTAGGATAGAACTTATGGAAATTCATTATAGAAATACAGATTTATTTTAAGCTTTTGACCATATATACCCTTTAAGCAATACAACTTGTTCACCAACCTGCCCCCAGCCCGCACACTGAAGAATTAGCAGCACTCTGATGAGGTTATCACTTTGCCCTCTCCTGTAAGAATGTTCAAACAACTGACTGACAGCACTGTGCAAAGCAATATGTCCATGTGAGTGCTGCTATGAAGCAGATTGCAGGAAGTTAATATCCAGAGAGATTCAGGTACTTATGTTGATTTTTATGTAGAATGCATTTCATTATTTCACTTTAATGAATACATAACTAGATTAAATGGTGTCTTTTCAGCTTTAATTAAAACTGACTGCTGTTTAAGGGATTCCTGCCAAAAAAAGTCATTGATTTGCCATCCTATTCCCATGACTTAGTAAAGCATTAACCCCTCATTATCTTGACCCTGATACACTTGATTGGTTTTAGAACGCTCATTCTAGGTGTTTACCATGATGCAGGGGATTAGTAATTGGTAAATCCCAAATGAAATTTGGGCTTATTGAGCGAGCTGTAAACTTGACATTTTGTTTTCTTTCCAGCTACACTATCCAGCAGTGGGATTCAGATGATCCTGTGCCAAGGGCAGAGCTGCTAAATGGGGTAGCAGGAGCACATGGTCTGCTCTGCCTCTTGTCAGAGAAGATAGACCAGGAGGTACTGGACACAGCTGGTAAGCAATGTCTGTGCTTCTTCTACCAGAATAATGCACTTGGAAATTCTGGACAAAGTTAGGAGTAATCTGATCTAAGCCATTCAATGTGTTGATTTGACATTTATATTACATAGTTACATAGTATTTGGGGTTGAATAAAGACATAAGTCCATCAAGTCCAACACCTATAGGTCCGTGCATCATCTCTTTCTTAGGAGTACTTGTACCCCTGTATATTACGGTCCCTCAGGAAATCATCCAAGAGTTTCTTGAACAATTCCACACTCCTGGCTGAAATCACTGCCGATGGCAGTGAGTTCCAGACCCTAACCGCTCGTACCGTGAAGAACCCCCTTCGCCCCTTGTGCTTGAATTTGTTTTCCACCAATTTTAGGTGGTGGCCTCTAGTTTTAGTAACGGAGTTAATCTTAAAGAGTTTGTTGCCAATGTTGCTGTCGCCATTGAACATCTTGTACATGAAAATCATATCCCCCCTTAATCTCCTTAATTCCAGCGTGAACATGTTTAAATTTAGTAGCCTTGTCTCATAGCTCTGGTCCTCCATTCCCCTAATTAGTTTAGTTGCCATCCGCTGGACCCTCTCCAGATCAAGGACATCTTTTCTTAATACTGGTGACCAAAACTGGACCGTGTACTCCAGATGAGGCCGAACCAATGCTCTATAAAGTGGCACAATTATAGACTTGTCTCTGTAGTACATCCCCTTCTTAATACAGGACAAGACCCTACTTGCTTTGTTTACAGCAGCCTGGCACTGCAAACTATCCTTTAGTTTGTGGTCTACAATGACCACCAAATCTTTTTCTATTTCTGACTTCCCTAGTGGCATACACATAATTACATAACCCATTTGCTTGTTTTTATTTCCAAAGTAATAAAACACCCACTCCCCTATTTTATCCATTCCATCCATTCCCTTCTAGTTCTTTGAATTTATAGACTTAGGTACAATGAGGATGAAGTCAAAGGTACAGTATTGTATAAGTAGTCCACGTCTCTCTTAGTTAGGGATGAGCTCCCAGTACAGACTAAATTTTGCTTGTACAAAGAACGACCATACTAAATGGTATGGAGCTGAACCTCTAACAAAGAGTTCATAGTTTACCTATGCAAATGCATTAGAGTACTTAGTCCAGTTTTTTTAGTTCAATAAACTTACAATAGTCTGTAAAGATGGCTGGATCCACCATCCATGCAAAAAATGAAAACAACCTGACGTGGGGTTACCCCTCTAAAATCCATTGCCAGACTTTTCCGAGCAGGCCAAGGCAGGGGGGAAACGAGCGTGCGTTCCCTCCCTCCTGACTAATGCCAAGCCACATTCCCTCAACAGGGATCCCTCTGGCAAAGCACCTTGTCCCCATGTTGACGAGGACAAGGACCTCTTCACATCCCTGGCCTGGTGGTTGTGGGTGTCTGTGGGTGCAATCATATTGGAATCTAGAAGCCCCCATTATGAATAAAGTTGGGCCCACAGATGCTGCCCTCCCCTAATATGAATAAGGGCTACTCCGTTCCCAAAAAAGAAAATAAGCATAAATAGTGTCATACACGTTTTGACAAGTCCTGTATTAAAAAATGTATTAATTTTAAAAAGTCCCATGGTGCAAATCCATTGTCGGTCACATCATCCTTGTCAATCATGGTGAACAATGCCCGCTGAAAGAAAAAAATCCACCAACTGCACAACACATCTTCACCCAGTGGAAGATTAGAGCAAATGGCAGCTTCGGTCCCTGCAGTGGAATTTAAAGAACGTAATCGCTGGTAATGTCACTGACCAAAAATGGACATGCAGTTATTTAAAGGAATTGCGCTATTTTAATGTTGCCCTTTAGGCATTATTAAAATCGCTGCTCCCAGCCAAAAAAGATGGAGAAGATGACAACCTAGCATCTTCTGAGCAAAAATCCATTCTGGCAGAGTGGACTGAGCAATGTGAGAAGGCCTTTATAGAATTAAAGAGAAGTTTAACTGAAGCTCCGGTACTAGCATATGCTGATACTAATAAACCAGAGTTGCATGTTGACACCAGCAGAAAAGGTCTAGGAGGAGTACTGTATCAGGAGCATGATGGGGCATTAAGGCCTGTGGCCTATGTAAGCTTGAACCCCTCTGAGAAAAATGATCCCACCCATAAGTTGGAGTTTCTTCCTTTTGAAGTGGGCGATTGTGAGTAACTTGATAGATTACCTATAGGGAGCAGAGTTTGTAGTCAAGACCGACAATAACCCTTTGACTTGCCTCTTCACTGCAGCTAAGTTGGACGCCACTAGGCATCGGTGGTTAGCTGCTTTATCCCGGTTCCAGTTTAGTCTGAAATACCGACCATGAGCTGGAAATTGGGATGCGGATGCTCTGTCCCAAAGGCCCTATGATTCCAACACCAGAGAAGGAGGATGGACTCATCTGACCACAGGAGGGGTTCAGACCCTGTGTCAAGGAGTACAACATAGGGAAAAGGGGGTCTTTGGGGCTGAAGCTATTGGAATGATGGCTGCAGGAATCCCTAAGGTGTACTAATGGACTTGAACTTTTGGTCACATTCTACCCGATCCGTACATTTATAGTATCTATATATAGATAGTTTAGGATTGTAAAATAAGTATCCCAATTTGCTGCTGAGGCAGGGTGTATATAGGTTCTTCAAGACTATGTGTCAAGATGATACAGGTGGAGACTACAACATACCTCATTGATTTCTTAGACTTCATGTCAAGAGGATATTCTGGCTGGACTATGGATCATCAATTGTATAGTTTCCATAGTTAGGGATGGATTTCCTAAGATAGGATTCATTATAGTGCGAGCAGAGTTTCACTGCTTTGGGAGTTGGGCTCTGGCCTCATGGACATTTAGGATAAATATTAATAATATACTTCAATATACACCCATAGTGTATAAGCAATAGGTTTAAGGTAATATCACTGTTGCATATATGCTGCTGCTTCTCTTCTCATTACAGGGGCCACGTGAGGGCCTGATCAGCTGCTATAGGATACCAGTGATGCGTTTATAGTTCAGGAATGTATTCTACAAGAATAGCATGAGATAGACTACTTGGATAGTAGTCAGGCTCTACATCAATGCTTTCTGTGTTAGTGATTAATTGTCACAGTACCTGTCACAAGATGGCTCATGGCCCAATGACAGCGTCTAGTCTGATGTTGTACAAATATTGTAGTAACGTGGTGTGAATATTTTTCGAAGATATTACTTGAAAATACTTTATTAAAATGTTTAACTTTTTCCCATCAAATTTTGACCTGGACATCCACTCTCAGGATGAGAGTTTATTTTTTTCGCAAATGCTCCAGACTCCGGGACGTAGCCTTCAAAGGCAGGGGTGAGTGTAGCCCCCATTATCTTTTTGTGAGGTGGCTACTAGAAATTTCGTGATTGCCAGAGCTGTAGTCAGCCTGGCTTAATTATAGTTGGCATTTATGTAGTTAATTCCAGGTGTTCTGGCATTGATTGTACCTACCTTGGTGGAGTGTGAGTCTGCTGTAGTGTGGGACATCCAATGAGGGACACTGAGTGTGTGCGCAGTTCACCAGCCAATCGCTGGGTCTCTCTCAACCCGTTGCATGCTGGGTAAGTGCATAGATATTGAAAGGAATTGCCATTTGTGGAGTTCTAGTCAAGTCAGGCTCCAGCCATACAGCCCCCCCCCCCCCCCCCCCCAGGCTAGGCCTGAGGGTGGGGATGCTGGAGTGCGGGAAGCGTTTCGCTAGTCCTCAAGTATGGAGTAGGCTTGTGCTGTTATCAGAGGAGAACCAGGGAATCTGATGGCTACTGGAGGTGCCTGCAATATAGTGGACCTCAGGAGCAAGTCTTGTGTCTCTTGTGCCAATCCCTGCTGATCTGCTGCTCAATTTTCTATTCAGCTGTGCTACCAATGGATCTACACTGAGATGCTAAAAAGGGGCTGGTGAGTCTGGAGTCCGTCTGTACTACCCTGGATGTCTAGGATCCCCATACCCTCTCTTCCCAGTGTAAAGATGTTAATAAAAGTTCCTCAGCATTATACTTTAGCCTTGGATGTCAGTTCTGTGAGCACTAGAAAAGGGCAGTTAATGCTAATGGGGTAGCTGAATACCAAAACCCCTAGACAAACAAGTGATTACCCATGTTATTTTGGCGGCTCCTTCAGGGGTGAGCACTACATTTAAATTTTTTTGTTTGCTTTGGTACATGTTGCCCAGGGTAGTACTCGGCCCCTCATGAACTTTGTCTGTCAGTCCTTTGCTTGTTAGCCTAGAAAAGGTCCATTAATGCTTTATTCTGCTCCTATTGACTTCAGTGGGGTTTGGATTCGGTGCCCAAACTTAAGTAAAGTTCACCAGACCCACCCTAAGCTGATCCCAAGTATGTTCTGCTCACCACTACTCTTAGTAGATTTCTAAGCGTTTGTATTTATACAATATAACTTCCCTTCCCTGGCAATCACCGGCCTTATTTATGAGCAGCTCTGTTGCTGGCTTTGACAAAGTAACAAAAAGAATAATCACACACACCTTAGGGTCACCATACATGTTACAATCTGGTCCCTACAATATTTCTACAATCAACATTAGATTTACCAAAAATATAATATTTACATCTACCTAATGTATACAAGCAGGCAGGAATTTGCACTACATAGGTGTTTGTACCTCTTACAGAGACTGTACAAAATAGATTGTAACATGTGGTGAGCTTTAGTTTAGAACTAGGAATTTGTCAGGACTTATAGGTACTCAAAAGGCACAAATTTCAGCCGGCACTACAACAAGAGGGTTATTGTGTCTTTGTTCACTTTCCAAGCTGTATGTTGGTTTTGTGTTCGGCAGCTGAAAGTTAATAAAATGGCTTAATTTCCACCAAGGATTCTATGCACTCCCTCTTAGTGAAAACCTCACAAGAGAACGTTCTGTACCCTTTTTGATGCAAGTGTGGAGCAAACACTGACAATTATATCCTTATAAACACAACAATGCAAATTGTAATTTTGTTTTATTGTCATTACCATTTGCAGGGCCAAATCTTAAAGTCATCAGTACATTGTCTGTGGGCTTTGACCACCTAGCAGTTGATGAAATAAAAAAGCGGTATGTATTTTGCTCCTCCATGATTTAGCACTCCTCCTTTTTGAGGTTGTATTTTACATGTTACCAGGACATATTAACTTTGTCCTGTGTCTTGTACAGTGGAATCAGAGTGGGCTACACCCCAGATGTGTTGACTGAGGCCACAGCAGAGCTGACCGTTGCCTTACTGCTAGCAACCTGTCGACGCCTGCCAGAAGCTGTACAAGAGGTAAAAAGGTAAGCAGTTGAGAAGAAAGAATGTGGCGTGGTCTACAGCTCTTTGCAGTTGCAGCAACTCATGGTATGGGAGGTGACTAGGTCACCTTAAAGGAGTTGTAAAGTCCCAGCATATACTATCCTGTTATACCATCAGCATTGTAATAGGAATACATACTATAGCTGTTTCTGATAATGCAATTAAAGCTTACTTGAAAAAATTCCTTTTATGTAGTGAGTGCTGCCTTTTGTCTGCCATCACTTTCATCAACTTCCTAGATTCCCAGTGTGCTTTACATCTCTTTACCTGCTGCTTGATGTGATACAATCTTGATTTCTCAAGACCATATCCCATCATGCATTGCTTTCAGCAAGCAATGATGATGTTACATTGTTCAAATGCTGAGCTGCACTTCGGAAGGCAGGCTCTGTGATATTTGTGACACAAGGAAGTGAATATTCACAGGGGTGTGTGAAATTGTCAGTGCATTTAAGAAGTAAATCCTATGGGCATCTTCAATAAGTAAGGTTGTTGTTGTTTTTTAAGTTTTTGACCATAGGTACCCTTTTAAGTATCTAAAAAACAAACTCCTAATTCTCTTCTATAAACTACTGAATTAACACTTTGACCCCATGTTGTAGAGATAAGGAGAGGGGGAGATGTCTGTAGTTCAAATTGGGTGAACAGCCTAGGGTGACAATATCCAGTGTTACTGGCAGAATCGCCAGGTGAAGAAAAAAGAATGAATGCAGCCACCCATCTAAGAACTGATCAGCTGCAACTTATTCCATTTTTGTTCCTAGGTTTAAATAGGCTTTAAACTTTGACTTCAATACAGTCATCAGTTCCAAAAGTTGTAAAAGAAGACCTTTTGCCCTCATTCACACTGTAATTGGCCTGCACGCACAGCTCCGTGCTACTTGCAGGGCTGTACCAAGGAGCTCCCGGGAAGGACAGGTGCTGCGTGTGATTAGTACGCAGCTCCTGACCTTCTCTATGGGACTACGCGGCCGTATCCTCACCCGCCCTGCACGTCCGTGTGGGTGCAGGTGAGAACGTATTCCCATAGAGAAGGAAGGGGGCTGCATACTAATCACACGCAATACCTGTCCTTCCCAGGAGCTGCTCGATACGACCCTGCACGGGGTTGTGCAGGCCGATTACAGTGTGAATGAGGGCTTTCTGTCCACTATGCAATTTATGTTTTTAGTCTGTTACCATCAATGTAAATATATGAAAAGCCATCCTGTAGGATTTTTTTTTTAAATCATTCATATTTATTTATGCTATAAAAGTGATCTTAGTGCCCATTCAACTGAGTTTGCATTCTGTTATTACAGTGGCAATGCCCTATAGAACACAGTCAGTGAACCTACCTTTTTTTTTCTTTGCTCTCTGGTGGTCCAAATCTGCAAGGCAAAATCACCTTGAAGGGAGGTGAAACATTTAACAGCGATATTGCTACTGTTGCTAAATGTGAAAGCTTCCCCCTAAGGCTGGTTGTCGGGGAGCTGGTGGCCAGTGGCATCCTATCAACCAGTGAGCCATCCCTGCCCAGACCATTCAGCTGTTAGGCAGGGATTCAGGCCAACAGCTGAATGTAAATAACACATTTTATTTTTCTTATATTATGATACTTGTTACAATTTGCTGGATATCAGCTTCCTAAGCTTATTGAAACTATGGAACAGGGAATCAAAGCTAAAGGCAGTCCAACTAAATATTAGGTTGTGTGACTTTTTGTTATATTGGTACATAAAGTCTGTAAATATGCTAACATATTCTATTTTTGTCTTAAAGTGGAGGATGGAAATCATGGTCTCCCATGTGGATGTGTGGGTATGGATTGTCTAACAGCACTGTTGGAATCATTGGCTTAGGGAGAATAGGTAATGCTTATAAAATTATGTTGCCTTAAGTGCAGTTTATCATCTCCGTTTTCATGAGTTTGCATTTGGTAATTATGGAATTTCTCATAAAAACCCAGTTTTAAAAGCTGAACTCCAGGTCTAAATATGTATGTTTTACTTGGTCCAGCTTATCCCAATGCAAGTATACATATTTTATACTGGTAGGGCCACGTGGATCCTGTAGAGCACTGTAGTATCCGGAGCTAATACCATTCTATATAGATATCTTTTGGGTATAGAAACAGCCGCTGTGCTGAACGACTTCCCTTCTGCTGTGAAAATACAGGGGATTACTCACTCGGCACAGTGGCCATTGAGCAAACATCTAATATTTTATTGATGAATACTATGTATTCTCTGATTGTAAGTGGGGTGGTGATGCTCATAGACATGTGCAATTAGTTTTCGGAAAGATTCGTTATTCGGGCAAATTTTCCGAAATTAGTACACACGGATGTATATGAATTTCTGAATGACAAAAATAACGAATGCAAGCGAATAGGAAATTCCGAGGTGAGGTTCCCCTACAATAGACACCAGACCATTTAGGTCTGGTAGGAATGTTGGGAGGGACCCTCCCAAGTTAAAAAAATAAATACAAATAAAATAAGAATGCATGGGGTTCCCCCCTAAAAGTTATACCCTGACCTTTAAGTGTGGTAGGAATTGTAAGGGGGAACCCCACCCACCAAAAGATGGGGAGGGGGAATGGGTCCCCCCTAAAATTCCTACCGGACCCTTGATCCAAGCACAGACCAGCAGGGCAAGAAAGGGGGGGGGCGATCAAGCACCCCTGCCCCCGCGCCATACCAGACCACATGCCCTCAGCATGCTGATGGGGACAATGGCCTCTTCCCCACAACCCTGGCCCAGTGGTTGTGGGGGTCTGCAGGCAGGGGGGCTTATTTGCATCGGAGTACCCCTTTAAGGGGGCAACCAGATGCCACCCCCCCTCTTTTGAATGGGTAAGGCACACTTGTACGCCTACTCATTCACTAAAGGGTTAAAAGTAAATCAACAGGCCACACATTTTGAAAGTCCTTTTAATTGAAAAAAGTCAGTTTTTGAAAATTTTGCTTTTTATTTAAAAGAAAAAAAACAAAAATATGGATCCATCATTGTAATCCAGCATCAATCACAATGAACGACGTCTGCCGATTTTGCCGAAATAAAATAAAAGTCCCGCCGCACGATCCCCCTGTCCGAACCCGACGAAGACTCGCCACAAAATGACAGCTCCGGCCTGAATGTAAACAAATGGGCGAAGCGAGCCGTGACATCACGTGGCTTGATCCGCCTATATGACATTCTGAGCTGCCATATAACACAATGGTATTCGTGAGCTCCCAAATGCCATTTGCGTTTGGGAGCCTAGATGTCGTAATACTATTCATATGACACCTCGGCTCCCAGACCCGAATGACAGCTCAGAATGTCAAATGGGCAGAACAAGCTCCGTGACAGTTCTCAATGGTCCTTACATATGGGATTTTGGAATCTTGCACCATGGATAACTAATCGATTTTGAAAATAATCGTTAGCTGCAGCTCTAGACTCACTAAAGTAGAATGTACTGTGGCACAGATGCATGAATGAAGGCTTTGCATGCACCCTTATAGTAACAGGAATGTGGTAGTGGAATTGGCTCAATATGAAATAGGATTTCATGGCTTTGGCAGATGGAAACAAGCACATTTCCTTTTTATTGAAGTGTAGCAGTGAACACTAAAGGCTGTGCTGCTGCTGCACCATACATCTGGTATAGGTGTTTGAGCCATCTATCTTACTGACAGCATTTCATATATGTGCTTTACATACACAAAGCATATTGTTTGAAGATAGTCTGAAACCATTTACCATGCCGTTTTAATTTTTTCCCCTGTCTTCAGGACTGGCTATTGCCCAACGGCTTAAACCTTTTGGTGTGGAAAAGTTTTTATACACAGGACGTCAGCCCCGACCTCAAAATGCTGCAGGGCTCAATGCCGAATATGGTATTTTTAAGGACATTGCATTTCTCCTTCCAATGCAGACAAAGGACATGTTAATCGTTAATATATTCACACAATAATGTGTTGTCTCTTTTCTGCAATTTAGTGTCCTGTGAAAAGCTTACAGAGGAATCGGATTTTGTTATAGTGTCTTGCTCTTTAACCCCTGAAACTGAAGGGTTATGTAACAAGGATTTCTTTCAAAGAATGAAGAAAACGTCCATTTTCATTAACATCAGTAGGTAGGTCAATTGTAATACACTCAGAATGTTCCCCAGTTCACCTGTTTAGACAATAAAGGACCAGATTTCTTTTATATGAGATCCAGCAACTGGTCCCCCTAGCCTAGACAACAGTAAGAAAATACCATAGGGTGCCTTAGATGGCTGTAAAATCAAGCAGCCTTTTGCTATCCCCCATATAGCAGCACTCAGAATGGAAGGGGCAACACTGGAAGGCAATCAGACATTTTGCATGCAAATGTGCTGACTGGGAACAAGATGCCAGGAGAGCAGAGTGAGCAGGAAGATTACCTTACGAGTCTGCTGCTGTTCCTCCATTGTTTAGTCAGTAGCTGGAGGTGGGAAGATGACACCACTGTATTGCTTAAATTGCAGTACAGCTGAAATCTTGACCTCTACTGTAGCAGCAGCGCAACGTTGTCAAGGACACTGGTCTGAAAACATCCTCGGTACGTTGCAGACTGAGGAGTTCATCATGCTGCTCACACTGATCTCTCCATCTGTTAGTATGTCCATTGTCAATACATGTGCATGCAACTTCTGGCTTCTGATAATGGCCTTCTCTCACCTAGTCTGAATGTTGTTGTGCAGAGATACAGGATGACAATATTAAGTCTATGTCCAGTAGTTGCATTCGTTTTTCATTTAAAGTGTATATAAAGCCAAAACTGTAAATTTTGGCTAGCATGGGGAAGAGTCAGAACCCCTGTCTGGTTTTTATTTCCATATCCTCATCTCCTTTTTGTATTGTATACTTAAAAATATCTGCATTGGCATTTAAATTACAGTTCTGTAAGATCAATGTGACCACGGGTACGTGTTTGAAGGAAAGCCTGTTGCCATGAAGATAGTATACAGTATCTTCATGCAGACCAATATTACATGTTGTTAGGATATGACAAAGGTCATGACATTAGTCAATGATTGATTTTTCTGGAAACCTTGCCAGTCCTGATATAGTGCCAGCAGGCATGACACATGCATCAACTGCTTTCAGGTTCATGTTCTCTTTCCTAATGTGTACATTTTACATTTAGTAATGTCTGCCAGGTTATACTTCGAGGAATGTAATGCTGGTTTCTTATTTGCTGGAGTTCTGGATGCATATACTTATCTATTATTTGCAGAGGCTCTATAGTGAACCAGGAAGACTTGTACCAGGCACTGGCCGATGGACAGATTGCAGCTGCTGGATTAGATGTCACTACTCCTGAACCACTGCCAACTACTCACCCATTGCTGAGTCTGAAGAATTGCAGTACTGTTCTAAACCTTTTATAAATTATCTTGAATCTTAAAGAGATTCATATATTGAACGGTCACGGTACAAATGTCACAAACTTGTTTAATCAACAAATTAGTACCGAAAATTTCACACACACACCCAAATGCTCCCAATACCGGGAATTCCAGTATCGGGAAGCCAGGTGGTAAGTCATTACACGTCGCCCGGCTTCCTGATTGGCTGGGAAGCAGGCTCCATGCTCCTGTTTAATATGGAAGCCAGGCAGCGAGTCATTACATGCCGTGCCTGGCTTCCTTAATGGGACTTCCAGTATCGGTATTCGGCGAAACACCGGTATCAGTGCATCCCTAATATATACCTTAGCACAGTGCTCAAAATTTCAAGTCCTGAGTTACTCGCCACCAGTTGCCCCACCTAACCCCTACCCCGGCCTTAACTCCGCTCCTAAACACACCCTCTAAATTATCTTATGAACTTTTTTTATGATAGTTGCCGCTTGTAAACAGTAGATTTGGAAAACACAGGAATCCCTAATCGCACCTGAAATATACACTATATTGCCAAAAGTATTGGGACGCCTGCCTTTAGACGCCCTGGTGATCCAGCGGTGATTAAGGTCTGCTGCAGACCTTACTAATCCATCCTTTCGGCCTGAGCTCAGAACTGTCACAGCTCCGGCTAAAAGGATCAGAGTGTCGGCAGTGACAGGAGCAGCTCTGCAGTCTGCATCCAACAGAGATGGAGACAGTGTAGCTGCTCCCGCATGTCAGGTACACGGTCAGTGATCGCGTACCTGACTTGTCAGCTGGCTGCAGGCCACATAGTACCAGTTTGCGGGTCGGTATTGTGCACTGGCTGAATTTTCACTCGCCAAATGAGAGCAGGCGAGTGGAAATTTTAAAGCCCTGCCTTCGCAAATACTTTGTGTATAAAATACTGATGTAGTTGCTAGAGGTTACCATATACAATAATATATATATATCTATATAGATCTATCTATCTATATATCTATTAGATAGATAGATCTATAGATATATAATTTCTTCCGCAACTGTACTGAAGCTTTCTTTTTGTCTTTTAAAAAACAAACCTTTCTGCTTGAATTCACACGTTACATGACTTTGAGCACGTTAGTATTACTCTATTATTTATACACATTATTTTGAGTTAAAGTTAGCATGGTACATCCGTTATGGCTGCCACATATTCATTAATAACTGCAAATGTTGTAAGGAAACAGAATTTCTAAAACACACTATTTACATTCAAGCTAAATTTTGAAGGAGAACTATGAGGCGAGTGCTTTTCACTCACCTCATAGTTCTAGCCGACCTGTGACAATGAGACTGTCACAGGTCGGCTCAGTAGATCGGGAGGTGAGCGAACACGTAACGGCATTTGCTCACCTCTCGATCCTGTCACGGCTCTCTGCTGTGACAGGGGAGGGGCTGGATTCCCCCCTCCCCGCTCCTCCAGGGCTGACTGGTGGAACGGACGGGGCAGGGGCGGGTGCAGCTGGCTCTGCCTGTAGCTATTGACTCTGCAGACAGTTGGCGACTTCTGTGCACTTCAGCATGTGCTGACCCCGCTCTGTCATTTTACGTGACCTACCACATCGTGGCTGAGTTGCTGTTGTTCCCAGTTGCTTCCACTTTGTTATAATTACACTAACAGGTGACCGCGGAATATTTAGTAGCAAGGAAATTTCACAGAACACCTGAATCCAATGATTTGGAGGGGTGTCCCAATACTTTTGGCAATTTAGTGTATATTGCCAGTAGTACCTCCCAGGAAAGCCAAGCGCTTGAAAGCTTGCGTGAAATACGCTTCTGCAGTGGAGATTTTGGACTTTTGAGGGAGTCAGCGGGGAGGCATGTTGTATTTGGCGGGCTGTCAGTAAAGCAGACCTACCATTTTCATGGAAGGTTCGCTTTAAAGGAGAATTATGAGGTGAGTGCTTTTCACTCACCCTCATAATCTGAGCCGACCTGTGACAATGAAACTGTCATAGGTCGGCTCAGTAGATCGGGAAGTGAGCAAACACATACCGTTGTTCGCTCACTTCTCGATCCTGTCACAGCTATCTGCCGTGACAGGGGAGTGGCTGGATTCCCCCCTCCGATCCTCCAGCGCTGACTGGCGGAACGGACGGGGGAGGGGGCGGGTACAGCTGGCTCTGCCTCTAGATAGGCAGAGCCAGCTGTCACTCACGCAGCTGGGCGGATCCAGACATAATTGTCGGGATCCGCTTCAGCGTCTCAGTATACCGCGAGCTGTAGCTCACGGTATACTGAGCTTAGGGTGACGGGAGGACGCTAGTTTGTGTCCTCCCGTTACCCTAAGGAGAACTATGGGGAAAAGCCCTAACCCCATAGTTCTTTTAAGCACAGCAATATTTATATATGTGTGTAGTGCAATTCTAAGCTTAACAAAAAGAGCCATTAAGGCAAACTGTCAAATCCACACAAGAAATAACATGTCAGGGGACTGATTTACGTGCCAAATGATTTGTATTTTTGTCCATCCAGTCCTGATTTACTTGCGATGGTTGTAGAGTGTATGGCCACCTTTACACAGCTCATTTCTCTCTAGCAGAGGAGAAGGATCTGTTCTGTGGCAGTTTTACTTTTGATTTACAGGCTGCTTTCCACCCTTACCCCCTGTTACTGACAGTGAAAGAAGCACACTTTACAAAATGTACAGTATGGCCTTTTCCTGTCCTCATTTGGACTAGTCCTGCACTCATGCCTTCTTGGCATACTGCCCTCCTGTTTTAAACCAGCACCAAAGGAGACTTAAAAAAGTGGGATTGGTCATAACAGTGTGGATTAGTGTATACATGTCTCTGCACCTTACTTATGACTCAAACGGGTAAAAAGGAGAGCAGGGTCTACATTTTTGTAAGCAGCCAGAGGTACTGATCGTATCACCATCTGCACAGGGTCATGCAGAAACTCTGCAACATAGGGAAGGGACAAATATTGTTTCCTGCAAGTTGATTACATAATTGCTCTGACATACCTCTTCAGTGTTAGCCCTCCTGTTCAGGAGCATTATTACAGCTAGAGAAGTGTAGCAAAGCAGCACAGAAGGGAGAATTTTAATGCTGAGCAATAAAAAAAAAAAAACTAGGAGGTTATTTTGAAATGGTATGGACTACTTCATTGGGGCCTGGAGTTCTGGTTTAAGCTTTCACATACTGTATATCCTAATGCAGGGCTGGACAAATTCCAGGAGCCAGGTTGGCAATGCTGCCAAAAAGTAAAGCTGGCCATACACTGGTTGTTTTCCTCATTCAGCCCCAGGGGCTTCTCCCATGCCAAGCTTTTGTATTGTGACAGCCATGGGCACTTGTTCATTGAACAATCTTTGGCCTGGATCGACTTTTGTTGAACATAGTGGGGCCGTTGGGAGGACCCAACTGAAATTCAAGCAGAGTATGGCCAGTTTTACTTTTGGGGTTTTTTCTAGCCATCAATGGGGTTGGCTCCTAAAAAAACAGATCCTGTTGGCTGCTGGATAGGACAGATTGGCTCTTGAACTCCATATTATTTATCCACCCCTGTGCTAATTATTAAAAAGACTATAGTTTCTCTTGCTAAGGCTAAACAAAAAATCCATGAACTCCAACAACTTTAGAGTTCCCAAACTCTAAATATAAGGTGCAAAGCAGGCAGGGCTCCTGCCACTTATTTAGTCACTTGATTGTGCAGCCAGCCTTGATGCAAGTTCACAGGATCTATAAGCTTGCATCATGTTGATTAGGAGTGGTGGAAACCTATGCGGTTTTCACTCGCCCCAAGTGAAGTTCAGTTTACTTGTTTTACCTATAAACGGACCAGAGTAAAATGAACTTTAAAAGGAACATCTTTACTATTTATTACATGTTCAGCAAAAAGACTGAGAAGGGGTAAATCACCTTTCACTACATAAAAAATAATTGCAGGCGTATGCTTGCTAAAGGTTAACCACTTAAAAATTTATTTTCTTTGTTGTATTCTTATTCATTCAGTGTTTCTGTTCCTGCAGTTATCTTGCCACACATCGGAAGTGCCACATATAGTACAAGGAATACCATGTCTGTGCTGGCGGTAAATAATCTACTAAGAGGCCTGGCTGGGCAGGAGATGCCAAATGAACTTAAGCTCTGAAGACCAAAACTGGATATGAGCATCATGCCTGTACTTTGTGCTAGATGATTCGATGTTATAGAATTTGTTAAATCCATTGTTTTGTAGTTCTGTATTAATAAAAAATACTAAATAACTACACTTTTATACTGGTATGGACAATTCAGTATGTATATGTATGTACAAAAAAAAAAAAGGATTATTATACATTCTCATCTGACCACAGAATTCTCCCAAGCCTTCTGTTTTAGCCTGCTGTCACTGCAAGTTCAGAAACATTACTCACTCTTTACTGAGATTTTAAGTATTCTTCACACTGGCATTGACAAATAGTCAATTAGCAAATATTTCTAAATGTGGGCAATTTTTTTTTTTTAATGTTATCGTGCAGACTGGGCACTTACCTGTGTTTTTACATGCAATCAGTTTAGCCGAGTTTAAAAAGGCATGTACTTCTAAATGCAAGTAATCCGGTAAGCATAAAGTTTGCTTGTTCTTCCCAGATAATGTCACTGGAGTTTAAATAACCAAAACACAGGCATGCCCGTGTGAATGAAGCCTTACTCTGATATTGAAACTTTGTGAGTCAGAAGATATCTTGGATGTCAGCTTAATGACCAGAGAATAACCCTTTCACATGGGCTGTCCATTCAGATCCACCTGTCAGTTTTTCAGGCAGATCTGATTGGAAGCCTAGTGTAATTCTATGGGTGTTGGATGTAAGCTGACATGCGTTTGTTTATCCCTGGCTCTGTTCCATGTTTTTTTACGGGCCTAGACATTGTTCTGTTTTGGTGGACCTGATCGTGACGGATGTAAACGGACAAATGGGCGCTTACATCCGACTGCCCATAGACCTAACATGGGTCCATTTAGTTCACTTTTAAAAACTGAACAGACATGGATGTCACAAAAGTGACATCCATTCCATATTGCTCTGATCATTAACGGATCTGTGCATGGATCCCCTGCTGCTCGGAACAGACTGGCGTCCGTGTGAAAGACGTTTGGAAAATCCTTCATCTTTCAACTTTGGTATAATGTTTAAAGTAGTACTAAAGGCATGGTGTTTTTTTTTTACCTTTTTCATGCATCCTCTGCTTGAGGGTAAACGCTCAGTACTTTTCTGCAACCCTCCCGTTCACCCCATCCCCTTACTTGTGGCTCAGTCTCCTCTGCCAGGATGGGGAAGATGTGCTCCATTGCCTGAACTTCCTGGTTGTGGGGGCCGGTACTGAGGGCAGATGAGCGATAGGCTCCTTCTGCTGTCAGTCAAACTGTGGGAGCAAGGCGTGGCTCTCCAAGCGCTGTGTGTGTGTGTCTATGGATGCACACCGCTAGGTGCGGGCACAGCCTGAACGCACACACAGGTGTCTCCTCAGCAGACGACTAGCTGGAGGAGACACCCACAGGGGTGGGTCCATGGTAAGGGGACAACTAGAACAAGGGAAGAAAAAGTAAAGACAAAAAAAAAAGTGAATTCAAGTACTTCTGGCACTTAATTATAAAAAAATTAATGGGTTAATATCAGTTATTGGGAATAAGCTATGAAACCTCAAACTAGGTCACTATCCTGCGGAGTCATTACTCAGATTTGAGTGGACTTTGTGTGTGCATGTCTAAGGTCATGGTAGCTTGAAAACACATTGAAATCCACAGTAAATTGTTCTGGGTGAACTTAAGGTGGCCATACACTGCTGTCGGCACCCTTTTGGCCGGCATTCCCTCGATCAGCTGATCGAAGGAGCCGATCGAAAAATGAGCTGCCGACACTGTTCAGCTATTCTGACAACAGCCGCTGTCAGGCTACAAAAGAAAAGGGTGGAAATGTTTCTCGATCAACGCTCGTAACAGTTGATGGAGGAATCCTGTAATGTTTTCTTTGTTCAACCTGCAGGCTGAACAAAGACATAGAAACAGAAAATATTAGTGTATGGCCAGCTTAACTCTTCAAACTGCAGAAATGTTAACAGTGGAACATGCCAGTGTAGTAGGTCTTGCAGTGGCCACTTGTTTTCTCCTGTGTGACAGGGTGACAACTCAGGTGTACAACTGGGAGACAGAGCATCATCACCATTTAACAAGATCTCCATGGCAGAATCACCAGGTCTAGGTATTTTAATAGCTGGCGATTAAAAAGATATTGAAAATTTACATTAACATGAGCAAAAGCTTAAGAGATTTAAATATGGTCTCTATTGGGAGCTTAGGATATCACTGAGCAAGGCACAACCATAAGTTGAACTTTCTCACCGCTCCAATCACAGAAAGCCAGCAAATGAATCAAGTGGCCAGCAACAAAGAAAACTGCAACTTTGGTTTTGAATAAACTCACATTTAATGAATTTGACTCTTACTGAGTTTTCAAACCAGAAGTGCATCATCAAGGAACATCAAGCAGCTCTGACCACTTTTTAAAATGATCCTCTTAATTCACAGTATGGTCTCTTCCATTTCTAACCATGGTTCGCTTTAAATTAGCACTTATTCTAAAGATATGTCACAATACCTTCCACTGATATTAGCCTGAATTACCATAAGGATGAAAGTATAATTTCTCAACGCGCCCTATGTGTTCCACAGTCATTCAAGCCGGAAGTTCTGATACACTTAACTTGTAGGGCCTGTTCACACCAGGTACAGATCATGTCCAGACCAGAGCAGTTTGTTCCCGGACCAAAAAAGCATCCCAATGTATCCTTATGGTATTTCACGGCTCTGTTCACACGAGCGCAATCTGTTCTGGACCAGACAAAAAAAACTGCTAGTCTAATTTTCTCTGGTATGGAATGCACTGGACCACACCTGAAAGCCCATTTTAAGCTAATAAAAAAAACCCGCTCTGGAAAGTGGTAAAAACACAATGCACCAAGTTCCAGATCTGGTCCAAAGCATGCTTTGTGCAATGCCAGGCAAATGTGGACGTCATGCTGCTCAGGTCGAATCACAGCAGGAGAGTGAAGGGGCAGCTTTATAGTAGATAAAGTAAGCCCCCACTGAAATCATGTACTGTATGTGGTTATAAAGGCCCACTTAAATTCAGTCATACGAGTGTATATAACAGTGATGCTTAACTGAAGGTCTCTAATTTGAAGAAGCAGGACAAGAAATCTTTGGTTAATCATTGTTTTCTGCTCTTGCCAAGATGAAAGTTAAAAAAAACAAAAAAAAAAACCTGGTGGACGTCAAGTACAGAGTATTATTGTTGCTATGCCTCAGTACAAAACAATGTTGCTACCGGCTAAATATAATAGGGCATTCCGGTCATATTAATGCAAAGCTATGCATATTCACATACTTTTATATGGGTTTTTCTTACTTTATAATCAAATGTCAAATTGTAATGAGCATCTCGTCACAAAACACAGTTATTTAAATTCCGAGCATTATACACACACACACACACACACTATAAAAGGTTGAACCTGCTGTGCCTGTGTTTTTATTCAACCTCACCTACTATGTAACTAATCTCCTTGGATATTTGCCTATCACACCAATAAAGGATCCTACTCTTTTTGTGGAAAAGAGCTATATTTGTAAAGCAGACTGTTTGCCGTGACTGTGCAGGCGCAAAATCTCCAGCTAAAAGTTCTTGGCTCCACCACGAACATTGCTCCTGCTGAATTCCATGTAATGTAAAATAAGTGGAGAATGTAATAACAATGAGGCTTAACGATTATGGCAGCCTGGGAAACCAGATCACCAGCAACCCTGAGATATGAGAACACTGTAAATGTAGATCTTCAATTGGCAAAATTTAATTTTTTTAATTGAAAAGCTTGTACAGTTTTCAATAATTTACTCAAAGGAAGGGAACAATACTTACCAAAAATGGATAAAAATGCATTTTGTTGCATTAATGTTTACACAATTGTACAGAAATGTCTGGTTAAAACCTTGGATGTTAGTAATGATTTCATTTTACATAAACATACATAAACAAATGAAGTACTTGCACCTCAAAACAGAGAGAGGTTAAATATTTTGATGAAGATATGTTCCCTCGCCAAGACCATATTTTTTTTTCTTCTTTTCCTTCAAAAGTCATTTGCCTGTTCACTCACAATACTCTGGGTCATCCTACTTGGTTAAGTACAGGGAAATGTTGCTACGTCACACATGGTGGTAACTGGTCTTGTTGGAGGAGGCGATAAAGTTAAAGCAACGTTGTGGGAAGATTGCTGTTTTGCCATCTAAGGCAAGTAGTTTTGGAATGCTTATATAAGTGACTGGATTGGCTAAACCGCTTTCCACATTTCAGGCACGCATAAGGTTTTTCACCTGTATGGACCCGGATGTGCTTTTTACAGTCTGTCAAAGTCAAGAAGGTCTTACAGCATATTTTACAAGCATATTTACGTGCACCTTCTACCACCAGCACATTATGCTCAGAGAGAGCTTTCTTGCACTTGGAAAGGACATCTGCCGAAGCCCTTGTCAACTGTGGTGGACCTTGTTGGGAAGTATTTCCATTGTCATAAGAGGAGTTTCCTCCATTCATCATCATTTGGGAACTGGAAGCGTTATCCTGTAGCTGAGTGCTCCGTACTGACGTAACAATTGGCATTTTGGGGGCAATGCGCCGATAATTCGGAAAGTTAAAGGCCCGACCCCTTGCACTTCCCATGATAGATCTAGACATAGAATGTAGCCCTAATCCAGATCTTGGGTAGTCCATTCCAAATGGGTCATTTCCACGGTAATTAGAGGACTGAACACAAGGCATACTCATAACGTCCTGCATGGGACGAGCAAAATGGGAATCTGGGCCATCACCGAAAGGATTATCCATCATAACATTAGAGGAGTGACCACCTGGTCCTACATCTGGACTAATGAGGTAGGACACCTCTCCATCCATTCTACAGTCACTGGTTGTATTTGGAATGTTATCATCACTATTATGACTTAAGCTGAGGTTGCCATTTCTGTTCTTGTTTAAAAAATTTGAAATGCTAAAAGAGGATTTGTGCTCTAAGTTGGGATTGACATCTAAAATGTGAATATCTCCAACCCTGTCTGTGCTAGACTGGGGGTCAGAGAAACTCCGATCACTGCTTTCTGGGCTCAGTTCAATTTTTTCTGCACTTACAGTACCTTCTACCTCAACCGGCTCACTTCCTTCTGCTTGTGATGTGACATCACTCACCTCATCCTGTGGTTCAGGTGAGCTCATAGGCTCAGATTTTACAATGACTCTCATGTGATCTTTTTCATCCACTGTAAGATCATGAGTCTCTGAGGGATAAACTGTTTTCTCACAACCAGACTCCTGATTGTAACTTGTTTCAACTTGAGTTGTTTGAGTTGCCATTGATATAATGTTTTCTCCACTGTTGTCAGACTGGCTTGGCAGTTGTGTGTCTTCTTGATTGCCATATGACTGATCAAACATGAGTGTGCTATCTTCATGGTTGTCTTGAGCAGAGTCAGATTTCATAGCATCCGTAATTTTAAGTGAATCAGGGGAGAAATATTCTTCACGAGAATTACCCATGGACTGTACACTTTCATTGGTAACATCGGTAATAAGACACTCATCAATTGAGGCCCTCATACGCTGCCTAGCCCTTTCTTCAGAAGACTGTTTTCTTTTGTGCAGCCGTCTTATAGGAAATGTGGCCCTTTGCTCCACCATGCTATTTCGTACAGAGGAACTCATTGAAGTCTGCTGTTGCTGGGACTGTTCTTCATTGCTCTGATTTGAATTCAAAGCCGAACTCACAATGCTTAATCCGAGCTGCTGAAGCATGAAAGACCTTTGCATCCGTGCGCTCTGCTCCTGAGTTCTGTCATTGGGGGAAGACACAGGCAATGTCCTTGTAGTCAGATAGTGCTTACATGCTTTCACAACAGAATTCAAATGGAGGTGAGATGCTGCCAGTAGCACATCCATCACATTGCTTTCTCCAAGCATAAGGGTGGATGTATACATCATGTCAATAAGAGCAGCAAAAGCTTCAGATGTTACCACTTCACTGTCCAGCTGGATCATGTTCATGCTCTGGTCACTCTCTGCTACAGTAAACAGAGCTCGGAAATGAGTACTGCATGCTGCTAGTACAGAGCGGTGAGCTTTAAAATGCCGGCTGCCCACCACTATGACACAGTCACAGAGCTGGCCTTGGATGCGCTGGTAATTTAACTGTTGAAAGGTCTGCTCAAAGTGTCCAGGAAAATCCATTGTCCTAGAAAGATAAAAAGGCAATGCCAATGTAAATATGCAGTCAGGGCACAATAGAAAGTTTTAAATATGATAATATGCACACTACAATCCAAAAAAAAAACCAGGAGGAACCTATTTTCATATTCAGAAATTAACCCATGTAACCCATGTGTAACTCATTCTACTTAAAGTGACCCTAAACTCAGGAGGCACTTGAATGTATTTGCATTATTTAACAAAAATTTATCTTATTTGTGTATCACTGGGCTGTAGATCCTCAAATCATCTCTGAATTGGTGCTGACACTGTCCTTCCTTCTGGAGGGGGGATACTTTTCTTCCCCATGATCCCTGTGTGTGTTGTAAAGTAGCCACCGCTCCAAGCTCGCTACTGTGATGGACTACAATCTCAATACAAATTAGTAAACTAAATGTGAGATGTAGTCCATCACGGGAGCGAGTTTGGAACGGTGACTACTTTACAACACACACAGGGACCAGGGGGAACAAAAGTAGCCCCCCTCCAGAAGGAAGGACCGTGTCAGCACCAATTCAGAGATGATTTGAGGATCCACAGCCCAGTGATACACAAATAAGATACATTTTTGATCATAGTTCAAGTACTTGAATGTATTTTTATGATTTAACTCCTGAGTTTAGTGTCACTTTAATGAGCGACTTAAAAAGCGACATTGCTGTTAATAGTCATGCTAGGATATTTTTGTGACCTAGGCTACAGATTTTTGTTGCTTGATCATTCAGTCATATTTTACCCAATAGCTACAAGGATCTGTTGTATCACTTGCTTCGGCTGTATAGTGCATAGCCAGCATAGCAAATCAGTTAACTGTAGGCTGAATCATTTCTAGGACACATGATTCTGGTCTCTTCTGCTATACATGGGCTGCCTTACCAATATCATAGCAAAGCATGATAGGTTTCCTGTGTACTTCGAAATAGTCATATGTTCCCATGCTAGACGCACATTAAAAACCACACTTCCTCACATAAAACAAAATTTAGACAAATAACTGTCAATAGTTTGCTTTAGAGTTAATCGATTAAGGATTTGTTGTTCCTCTATAGCTGGTGGTATTCTCCATTGCGCTGGGCAATGCATTATTTCTGGGATTTGTAGTTCCTCTATAACTGGTGAATGGTAATCTGCATTGCACAGTATAATCATTATACAGCGCAATGCAGAATACCAGCATTTACAGAGGACTACATATCCCAGCAATAGTACATTATTGTATAATGTTGTACTCTTGCTGGCATTTGTTGTATTACTATATAGCTGGTGGTATACTGCATTTCGCCGTATAATCATTATACAGCGCACTGTAGAGGACTACAAATCCCAGCGATAATAAATGATATACAGCGCAATGCAGAATAACGCCAGCTATAGAGGAATACATCAGATCCCAGCAATAATACATTATATACAGTGCAATGCAGAATAACGCCAGCTACAGAGGACTACAAATCCCAGCAATAGTACATTATAGTATAATGTACTATTGCTGCATTCCTCTATAGCTGCTGGTATTCTGCATTGCGCCGCTGTATAATGTACTATATTGCACACCACACTTTTTTTTTTACTTCCACCGTGCCAAGCTTGCTCCTGTGATGGACTACAATCGCAATAGAAACTAGTAGTCCATCACGGGAGCCTTTTTTTTTTATCCGATTAATTGAACGTAATAATCGGCCAACTAATCGATTATGAAAATAATCGTTAGCTGCAGCCCTAGTTTGCTTTGGTGAGCTCACAGTTTAGTAAAGTCCATATATAAATGTATTAACTACGAGCAAATGCGTAAAGATGGGAGGATGGGGGGCCCAGGGCTTAGCCACAAAGTCAAACCCTTTGTAATAAAGTGATTCCAAGATCACATGAGAAACAAAGACGATTTTCTGGTAAAACTTTGTGGTGCCTGCTTTCAGTCAAGGCATTTGCACATTTAACTGACTGATACCTGCTATATGAGCTAAGTGTAAAATTACCACCTATTGCTATTTTGATAAGTATATGCAAAAGCCTCGTTGCCCTCTTAATGTTAGCCCACATTTGTTTCCTCTATTTTGTTATTCTCTTGATATTGGTCTACTTTTGCCCTGCCGCCTTGTTATCCTCTTGATTGCCCACAATTGCCCCCTCTCCCTTGTTATGCCCTTGATGTTGGCGCACGTTTGCCCCCTCTCCCTTGTTATGCTGTTGGCCCAAGTTTGCCCCCTCTCCCTTGTTATGCTGTTGGCCCAAGTTTGCCCCCCTCTCCCTTGTTATGCTGTTTATGTTGGCCCAAGTTTGCCCCACTCTCCCTTGTTATGCTGTTGACCCAAGTTTGCCCCCCTCTCCCTTGTTATGCTGTTGATGTTGGCCCAAGTTTGCCCCCCTCTCCCTTGTTATGCTGATTTGCCCACACTTGCCCCCTTCACCTTGTTATGCCCTTGATGTTGGCTTGCTCTCAAGGTGCTAATACTGTCACAAAGGCCTTCAGGAAATGTCTTCTCTGACTACACAGAGCTCTAGGTATGGGACCCGGAAAAATCCGGGTGTTCTAATAATAAAAAAAAACTAATAATAATGAACTCCTCCTATTACATTTGCAGCAGAAAGTAGGGATGCACCGATACCACTTTTTTACGACCGAGTACGAGTACCGATACTTTTGATCAAGTACTCGCCGATACCAATTACCGATACTTTTCTTAAAGGGACAGGTCACATTTTTTCTAAAGCAATACAAACTAATGATTTAAGGTCAGTTTCTTAATATTATGATTCATGAGATGACGAGGGAGCATGACGCCGCCTTTCTGGCCAATCAGAATGCCGGCGCTGTGTCATTACACGGCGCCTGGCTTCCGGATTTGCTAGCTTCCTGACCAATCGGGAAGCCAGGCAGAGCGACATTACACGCTAGCCGGCTTCCTGATTGGCCGGGAAATCGGCTCCATGCTCTCTCATCACAAGCGACGAGAGAGCATGGAGCCGTTTCCCGGCCAATCAGGAAACCGGGCAGCGTGTAATGATGCGCAGCCCGGCTTCCTGATACAGGAAGTACTCGTGCTAGGTATCGGAGCATTTGGGTGAGTACGAGTACTCACCCAAATACTCGGTATCGGCACCGATACTAGTATCGGTGCATCCCTAGCAGAAAGCCTGGGATTGTTGCTTTCATAATGCCTTGCGTTGGTGATAATGGTCGAGTATTTACATATAGACTGCATGGTACAGAATAAAATTTTATTTTTGATCCGACTGACTGCTGAATGACGAGTTCCTTCCATACTACTTCAAAGGGTAGCTCTCCCACATTTAATCCGACCGTGTCAGACATCATATGATTCGAGAGAAATTCTTATGAGATAAAAAGGAGGTTTTGTTTAACTTTCCTTTTGAATATGCAAGTTGCCAGACGGATATACTAATTCAAAGACTTCAGCCCTTTCTGAGAAATCGACATTGAGCAAGAATTCAGGCCAGGAGCTTTGATTTACTCATTTAGCAATGGCACTTTCATATTTCTCTCTAGGTCTAGCATTTGAATGTATCTTGCCTGCTGTTCTTGTAAAAATAAAACTGCTCCTAATCCCTATCTTGCTCTTCACTTCTACCACTTAATCTTAATGGGCACATTTGTTTTGAGACAAACATTGAGGCTGCCATAGCTGAACCCTTTCTGAAAAGAGCTGCCTGGCTGATATGCTGACACACTGGCTTTAATGTTGACCCCCAAGTATACCCGTCAGGGAAGTTGGAGAAAAGTCTATATGCTTCTTTGGGGCAGCAACTCAAAAGAACTGAAGCGTTTTTAGAAGGCATGCAAGATTTAGAAGAAGTCACAGTGCTCATAAAGAAACCATGAATAAAGTGAAGAAAAAAATAATCAGTGACCAGTTTGAACAGAAAATGTTTTTTGTATGTTGTCTTCTAACTGCAAAATACAATTCCTCAGGGCCCCAGCAACAGAATACTGTGCCCACTAAAGATTCAAACATGGTATAGTCCATGGTTGGACAAATCCCAGGTATCCAATGCTCCTTATAATTACAGCTTGTGCCTAACGTTTGAGGTTCTCTTTACTTGTTGTCAATAGAGCTGGCTCCTGGATTCCATATTAAATTGTCCAACCCTGGTATAGTCAAATTTCAAACTGTTGTCCTAAGAGACACCGTCACTCTGTCCCTTATCAGAGACCCTCCCTGACCAACTAATACATATCTTGCTAGCGCTTCTCTGCTGCTCCTTCCACTGGAGAAAATATCCGGCCCTTCTAGGATATCCCCTAAGTATCTGACAATGGGACAATGGTGCTGGCTGTGACTGAGGAAGTAGCCGTGGCAAGATGAATATCAGTGGGTCAGAGGGGCCTTTCACAGACACTGTCACTTGGCCCTAAAGTGGGCAACATCACAGTGTCCCTTTCAGGTCCTTTATCCTCAAGAAGATTCATCTAGCCTAAAAGGTGTCTTCACAAAGAATGAGAAATACATATTTTCAGCTTTATCTTCTTTCGAGGAGTATTACATTGTTATAAAGCAACTGAATAGATAGGAAACATTCAATGAAATCTTTACTGATAAAATACATAGGATACCATTGCTGAACGCTCTTTTTGAACATGCTGGTTGTTATGCTGATCCAAAGTATTGAATATTTTCTGAGTCACTGATCTGGAACAAGAAAAGGGTTTTTTTTTTCTTAATAAGTAAACTCTGGCATTCATAATCTATTTTTTCCCTAATGTACTAGAAAACAGTATTTACCACTTGCCATTCCATTCAAATTTCCGATAAGATGAAACACTATTTATATTTTGAATAAAAAAATACTGAAACTTACTCCATTGGAAATACAAGAAGCCCTTCTTTTGCCTCTTATTACAGGAGTTTCCACTCAGTACCACCCAAATATGTAAAATGACTGAATTCTGTAACATAACTTTAGAGGTTCCACTTCTTTTATTTTTGTAAAAGGAATCCTTAATGTTAGGGATGCACCGATACCGGT